CTCTCTCTCAGGTGTGTTATCTCTCTCTCTCAGGTGTGTTATCTCTCTCTCTCAGGTGTGTTATCTCTCTCTCTCTCTCTCTCAGGTGTGTCTCAGGTGTGTTATCTCTCTCTCTCTCTCTCAGGTGTGTCTCAGGTGTGTTATCTCTCTCTCTCAGGTGTGTCTCAGGTGTGTCTCAGGTGTGTTATCTCTCTCTCTCTCTCAGGTGTGTTATCTCTCTCTCTCAGGTGTGTCTCAGGTGTGTTATCTCTCTCTCAGGTGTGTCTCAGGTGTGTTATCTCTCTCTCTCAGGTGTGTCTCAGGTGTGTTATCTCTCTCTCTCAGGTGTGTCTCAGGTGTGTTATCTCTCTCAGGTGTGTTATCTCTCTCTCTCTCTCTCAGGTGTGTTATCTCTCTCTCTCAGGTGTGTTCAGGTGTGCTACCTGTCTCACCTTCACACTCCCTCTCGTCGGTCCCGTCCTGGCAGTCCTTCTCTCCGTTGCACCTGAGTTTCATCTGGATGCACTGCCTGCTGTCGCACTGGAACTCCTCCTCGGAGCACACGGGGCAGTTCTGCTCGTCGCTGCTGTCGTCACATTCTGGATATCCATCACAGCGCCAGGCGTGAGGAATACAGTCCACTTCCCCTGAGCTGCAGGAGAACTGATCAGGGGAGCAGGTGGGAGGCTCTGTGGGGAGAGGGGGGTTAGTGATTGTGTCAACATTCTGACTTTTTTCCAAAAAATATAATATTCTGACTTTCTTAAAATTTCAAAAATTCTGACTTTCTACAAAATTCTGACTTTTTTCTTACAAGTCAGACTTTTTTTCTCAAAACCTCAAAATTCTGACTTTTTCTCATAATCTTAAAATTCTGACTTTTTCTCAAAATCTTAAAATTCTGACTTTCTCAAAATCTTAAAATTCTGACTTTTTCTCAAAATCTTTATATTCTGATTTTCTTAAAATTCTGACTTTTTCTCAAAATCTTAAAATTCTGACTTTCTCAAAATCCTAAAATTCTGACTTTCTCAAAATTCTGACTTTCTCATAATCTTAAAATTCTGACTTTCTCAAAATCCTAAAATTCTGACTTTTTCTCAAAATTCTGACTTTTTCTCAAAACCTTAATATTCTGACTTTCTTAAAATTTCAAAAATTCTGACTTTTTACAAAATTCTGACTTTCAAAAGTCTGACTTCTACCTGAAAAAACAAAACTCAAAATTCTGACTTTTTTCTCAATAATTCTTACAATACTGACTTTTTTTCTGAAAACTCACTGTTTAGAATGCTGCAAGCGCTAAATCAGAAGGTCTAGGTAGGACATAAGCGCTTAAACCGGAAGTGGGAAAAGGGGCGTGGCTACATAAGGTGAATATAAAAAGGTGTGTTCAGGGCCTTACCTCCACAGGAGAGCTCGTCCTGCAGCAGCACCAGGTGAACAGGACACGAGCACCTGGTCGTCCCGTCTCCCTTCACGATGCAGATGTGGGAGCAGCCACCATTCTCCCAGGTGCACGGGTGTTTACCTGTGTGGGGGGGGGGGGGGGGGGGGGGAGTTCATTTATAACATTTAAGGTCTCCCATCATGCAAAAGTCACTTTCTGATGTCTTTTCCACATCACTATGTGTCCCCGGTGTGTCCCCGGTGTGTCAGGAGACTCTCAAAGTGTCAGGAAATAAAACCCACATCTCTAAAAACGGGGAACAACGGAGCTGATCCAGATTTTCTGCGTCATGACGGCATTACTAAAATGTGGGCGGGCTTTACACCCACGGGCCAATCAGAAACGTTGCTGTCAGAAACAATGAGACGTGTTCTGGAAGTAATATGGTCTGTGTTGACATTAGCATGCTAACACTCAGAGCTAACCTGTACTGGAGAGAGCATGTGTGAAGAAGCCAGTCATCTCTTTAGTAACAGCTGGAAGAAGTGAGGCTAGAATGATCTCTTTGGTGTTGGAGCACTTCAGAGACATGTTTTTTATATATTTGTATATATCTGAGACCTGTAATACATGCCTAAAGATGGTATAATAGGAGACCTTTAAATACAATTGAGGTTCTTTCACTCACTGTACTCCCGCATGTCGAGCTCGTGCACGGCGTGGATGTCGCTCAGGTAGGCGATGCGCGCCTGGATCTTGGTTCTTCCCTCCCGGGTGTTCTTGTCAATGCGCTCGATCATCTGCTGCTGCTTGTCGATCCAGTAGAGGTGCCCCCCGAACACCGTCAGCCCCACCGGCTGCAGGATGTTCGAGTCCGCCATCACGATGCGGTTCGCTCCTGAGATTTAAAACACAGGAACCACGGGGGAAACACAAAGAAACAGGTTGGAGGAAAAAGGGCTTCAGGGGGAGGAAACTGAACGGGAGGCAAACTGAGGGGAGGGGGGGGGGAGGACACACACACCCAATGTCAGCTGTATATCACTTAACACACTGAGACACACTGAGACACACTGAGACACACTGTGACACACTGAGACACACTGTGACACACTGTGACACACTGAGACACACTGTGACACACTGAGACACACTGAGACACACTGTGACACACTGTGACACACTGAGACACACTGAGACACACTGTGACACACTGTTACACACTGTGACACACTGTGACACACTGAGACACACTGTTACACACTGAGACACACTGAGACACAATGTGACACACTGAGACACACTGTGACACACTGAGACACACTGAAACACACTGAGACACACTGAAACACACTGTTACACACTGACACAATGAGACACACTGTTACACACTGAGACACACTGAGACACAATGAGACACACTGTGACACACTGTTACACACTGAGACACACTGTTACACACTGAGACACACTGTAACACACTGTTACACACTGAGACACACTGTGACACACTGAGACACACTGTTACACACTGAAACACACTGAGACACACTGTTACACACTGAGACACACTGTTACACACTGACACAATGAGACACACTGTTACACACTGTTACACACTGAGACACACTGAGACACACAGAAACACACTGTTACACACTGAGACACACTGTTACACACTGAGACACACAGACACACTGAGACACACTGTTACACACTGTTACACACTGAAACACACTGAAACACACTGTTACACACTGTGACACACTGTGACACACTGAGACACACTGTGACACACTGAGACACACTGAAACACACTGAGACACACTGAGACACACTGTTACACACTGAGACACACTGAGACACACTGTGACACACTGTGACACACTGAGACACACTGAAACACACTGAGACACACTGAAACACACTGTTACACACTGAAACACACTGAGACACACTGAGACACACTGTTACACACTGAGACACACTGTTACACACTGAAACACACTGAGACACACTGTTACACACTGAGACACACTGTGACACACTGTGACACACTGAGACACACTGAAACACACTGAGACACACTGAGACACACTGAAACACACTGAGACACACTGAGACACACTGTTACACACTGAGACACACTGTTACACACTGAAACACACTGAGACACACTGTTACACACTGAAACACACTGAGACACACTGTTACACACTGAAACACACTGAGACACACTGTTACACACTGAAACACACTGAGACACACTGTTACACACTGAAACACACTGAGACACACTGAGACACACTGAAACACACTGAGACACACTGAAACACACTGAGACACACTGAAACACACTGAGACACACAGACACACTGAGACACACTGTTACACACTGAGACACAGTGACACAGTGAGACACACTGAAACACACTGACACACTGAGACACACTGTTACACACTGAAACACACTGAGACACACTGACACACTGTTACACACTGAGACACACTGAAACACACTGAGACACACTGTTACACACTGAGACACACTGTTACACACTGTTACACACTGAGACACACTGTTACACACTGAGACACACTGTTACACACTGAAACACACTGAGACACACTGTTACACACTGAGACACACTGAGACACACTGTTACACACTGAAACACACTGTTACACACTGAGACACACTGTTACACACTGAGACACACTGTTACACACTGAGACACAGTGACACACTGAAACACACTGAGACACACTGAGACACACTGTTACACACTGAGACACACTGAGACACACTGTTACACACTGAGACACACTGTTACACACTGAAACACACTGTTACACACTGAGACACACTGTTACACACTGAGACACACTGTTACACACTGAGACACACTGAAACACACTGACACACTGAGACACACTGAAACACACTGAAACACACTGACACACACTGAAACACACTGAAACACTGAGACACACTGAAACACACTGAAACACACTGACACACTGAAACACACTGAGACACACTGTTACACACTGAGACACACTGAAACACACTGTTACACACTGACACAATGAGACACACTGAGACACACTGTGACACACTGTTACATACTGAGACACACTGTTACACACTGAGACACACTGTGACACACTGTGACACACTGTTACACACTGAAACACACTGAGACACACTGTTACACACTGAGACACACTGACACAATGAGACACACTGTTACACACTGTTACACACTGTTACACACTGAGACACACTGAGACACACTGAGACACACTGTTACACACTGAGACACACTGTTACACACTGTTACACACTGAGACACACAGACACACAGACACACTGTTACACACTGAGACACACTGAAACACACTGAGACACACTGAAACACACTGTTACACACTGAGACACACTGTTACACACTGAGACACACTGTTACACACTGAAACACACTGAGACACACTGAGACACACTGTTACACACTGTTACACACTGTTACACACTGTTACACACTGTGACACACTGAGACACACTGTGACACACTGAGACACACTGTTACACACTGTGACACACTGAGACACACTGAGACACACTGAGACACACTGTGACACACTGAGACACACTGTTACACACTGAGACACACTGTTACACACTGAGACACACTGTTACACACTGAGACACACTGTTACACACTGAGACACACTGAGACACACTGTTACACACTGTTACACACTGTTACACACTGAGACACACTGAAACACACTGAAACACACTGTTACACACTGAGACACACTGTTACACACTGAAACACACTGAGACACACTGTTACACACTGAAACACACTGAGACACACTGTTACACACTGAAACACACTGAGACACACTGTTACACACTGAAACACACTGAGACACACTGTTACACACTGAAACACACTGAGACACACTGTTACACACTGAAACACACTGAGACACACTGAGACACACTGAAACACACTGAGACACACTGAGACACACTGTTACACACTGAAACACACTGAGACACACTGTTACACACTGAGACACACTGAAACACACTGAGACACACAGACACACTGAGACACACTGAGACACACTGAAACACACTGAGACACAGTGACACAGTGAGACACACTGTTACACACTGAGACACACTGAGACACACTGAGACACACTGACACACTGTTACACACTGTTACACACTGAGACACACTGAAACACACTGAGACACAGTGACACAGTGAGACACACTGTTACACACTGAGACACACTGAGACACACTGAAACACACTGACACACTGAGACACACTGTTACACACTGAAACACACTGAGACACACTGAGACACACTGACACACTGTTACACACTGAGACACACTGAGACACACTGTTACACACTGAGACACACTGTTACACACTGAGACACACTGTTACACACTGAGACACACTGAGACACACTGTTACACACTGAGACACAGTGACACAGTGAGACACACTGAAACACACTGACACACTGAAACACACTGAGACACACTGAGACACACTGTTACACACTGAGACACACTGAGACACACTGTTACACACTGAAACACACTGTTACACACTGAGACACACTGTTACACACTGAGACACACTGAGACACACTGAGACACAGTGACACACTGAAACACACTGAGACACACTGAGACACACTGTTACACACTGAGACACACTGAAACACACTGAGACACACTGAAACACACTGAAACACACTGACACACTGAGACACACTGAAACACACTGAGACACACTGAAACACACTGACACACTGAAACACACTGAAACACACTGAGACACACTGAGACACACTGACACACTGAAACACACTGACACACTGAAACACACTGACACACACTGACACACACTGAGACACACTGAGACACACTGTGACACACTGAGACACAGTGAAACACACTGAAACACACTGAGACACACTGAAACACACTGACACACTGAAACACACTGTTACACACTGAGACACACTGAAACACACTGAAACACACTGAGACACACTGAGACACACTGTGACACACTGAGACACACTGAAACACACTGACACACTGAAACACACTGACACACTGAAACACACTGAAACACACTGAGACACACTGAGACACACTGTGACACACTGAGACACACTGAAACACACTGACACACTGAAACACACTGAAACACACTGAGACACACTGAGACACACTGTGACACACTGAAACACACTGACACACTGAAACACTGAAACACACTGAAACACACTGAGACACACTGAGACACACTGAGACACACTGAGACACACTGAGACACACTGTTACACACTGAGACACACTGAGACACACTGAGACACACTGAGACACACTGTTACACACTGTTACACACTGTTACACACTGAGACACACTGTTACACACTGAGACACACTGAGACACACTGTTACACACTGAAACACACTGAGACACACTGTTACACACTGAGACACACTGAGACACACTGTTACACACTGAAACACACTGAGACACACTGAGACACACTGTGACACACTGAGACACACTGAAACACACTGACACACTGAAACACACTGAAACACACTGAGACACACTGAGACACACTGTGACACACTGAAACACACTGACACACTGAAACACTGAAACACACTGAAACACACTGAGACACACTGAGACACACTGAGACACACTGAGACACACTGAGACACACTGAGACACACTGTTACACACTGAGACACACTGAGACACACTGAGACACACTGAGACACACTGAGACACACTGAGACACACTGTTACACACTGTTACACACTGAGACACACTGAGACACACTGAGACACACTGAGACACACTGAGACACACTGTTACACACTGAGACACACTGAGACACACTGAGACACACTGAGACACACTCACATATTATCCCTGTAGTCCTTATGGTTTTATTAAAAAAGTAGTTTTCGTTGAGGAAACATCAATGTTTTTTTTTCAAGAAAATATCCAATTATTTGAGATCATTTGACTTATAATGTATAAAATGTATATAATGTATAAAATGTATATATGTATAAAATGTATGTTTATCTTTCTCGGAAATACAATTTAATTCTATATTTTTGATTTTTCTTAGAAAATTCATACATTTAAATTGTTCCATTTACATTTAAATGTAAATATGATTTTTTTATTTGAGAATTTGTAATTTATTTGATTGGAAATGTATTTCTGTCCTCACAGCTTCACGTTACTGGTTTTAGTGAAAGATCCCTGAAGAGGAAGCAGAGGGAAAACAAGAGATAGTGAGGCCTCTCCTCTTCCTCTCCTCCTCCTCCTCCTCCTCTTCTGCAGATTTTTTAAATTCCTTAATTCCCCGGAGTATCAGGAATGTGCTGAGCTCGGCTCGACGCCAGATCTCTCAGTTCCTCTGTTCTCACATTACCTGATCTAAGACTGGAGGTTTTCTGCTGCATTTTACCAATAAATGCACCTTTTGTAAATACAAACATCAAAATAATAATAATGAGTAAAATGTATTCCAGGGTTGAAGTCGTAAATAACCACAGAAAGAAAACCTGGATATTTCCTGATAATCAAATCATGAATTGAGAATTTAAAGCGGTGAATTGATGAGATTTAAACAGTAGATGACATCACTACGGATCACTCGCTCTCCTATTGGCTAGCGCTCCAACACATTGTACGTGTTAGGCTAAGGGGCGGGACATCTCGAAGACTGGTTGACCAATCACAGCAGGCAGTTTGAAAAATACTAATTAAATCATGAATTTAAAGCGGTGAATTTATGAGTAATAAACTGAAAAATGTGGGATCAAAACGGTAGATGACATCACTTTGTAACACTCGCGCTCCTATTGGCTAGCGCTCCAACACATTGTACGTGATAGGCTAAGAGGCGGGACATCTAAGACTGGACCAATGAAACAAAGCGGATCCTCACCGGAGAGGTCGCTGCTCTCGATCCTCCGCAGGTCCGAGTCGACCCAGAACAGTTTCCCCAGCTCGTTGTCGATGGCCAGAGCGACCGGTTTCCCCAAGCCGCTGAAGAACAGAACCTCTCGCTCCGTCCCGTCCAGCGCCGCACGCTCGATCTTTGGGGAGCGCTCCTGCAGGTTGGTGAAGTACATGTACCTGCACAGGTGAAGGGCTACTGTGAGAGGTGTGTGTTTATAGTACATGTACCTGCACAGGTGAAGGGTTCGTTAATATGAGAGGTGTGTGTTTATAGTACATGTACCGGCACAGGTGAAGGGTTTGTTAATATGAGAGGTGTGTGTGAAATTCTTAGAAAGTAAAAATTCTTAGAAAAGTCTTAGATTTTAGAAGTAATTTTTTCTCAGAATTTTGACTTTCTTTCTCAATAACTCTCTTGTTTAGATCTCAAAGATATATAAAGAGAGGTCATTCATATATATATATATATATAACATTAAAGAGGCCTACCCTCTCTCTGGGTTCACCACGATGGCTCTCGGTTTGTCGTGCTCTCCGCGCAGAACGACGCCCACTCGGCTGCCGTCGGTCCTCGTGACGTTGATGACGTTGGTGACCTCGCTGGTCCAGTAGATGAAGCGGCTGAACACGTCGATGCTCAGGTCGTAAATCTGCAGACCAGAACCACCAGGACCAGAACCAGAACCAGGACCCTGCAGCGGGCTGGACACCACCGTCATGCTCTGAGGGGACAAAACACACATATACACAAATTGGGTATTTACCAAGAATAAAGTGACACATTTACACGAAAAAACATAATAATACAAAAACAGATATATAATTAAGGGTCCGATTGGGGACTCTCTAACTCTCCGGATGAGGTTCTGCCATTAAGCATTTTATAATATATTTAAATATGTTTCTGTACCTGGTTCCCGTCCTCTGTGGCCCTCCGGATGACGTTCTGCTTGGAGTCGATCCAGTACAGCTGCTTGTCCAGCGGGTCGTAGTCGATGGCGCGGACGTTCCTCAGGCTGTGGATGGGCAGGATGATGTCGGGGCTCTGCTGCTCGTCCATCACCATGCGGTTAATGGCCGTCTTCTGGCTGAACAGCAGGAAGGAGGTGGGGGCTGCAGGGGAACAAACAGGGGGTTCAAATGATACCAAGAGAGACACTTTGACTCATTATTGCTTTATTTAAGGTTGTTTTCAAACATATTTATAAGAAAATCCGAAAAAATGTGAAAAATATCCGGCAACTGAATAATGTCCCATAGATATTAGCAAATGATTCAAAAGTAACAGGGGGGTTAAAATGATGTCAAGAGAGACACTCTGTTCCTCCTCCAAACTCAAAGAGCTTCAGGTTCAATTCTGTACAAAAATATAAAAATCCTGAAAAGTAAATATTCTGAGGAAATTCTGAAAAATGTCAAAGAAAATCAGAGAAAAATCAAGACACTTGACTTATTACTGGCTATTTCAATCATACGTCAGGACGACTATAGGAGCCTATTTCTGGTATTAATAGACGCTTTCACACCAGAGTACTCTTCCCAGGAATAATTCCGATAGTTCCTGGGATTTTGGGTTCACACCAAAAATAACCTTTTCCCCCCTTTTTCAGTGCCTGCTAGAGAGGTGGTTCTTTCCTGGGGAGGAAAAGGTTCCCATTTCTGATTGGCTGGGCGGAAGAGTTTTTGTGAAGCCGCCATTTTATTTTCTCGCATTAGCATTATTAGCATTAGCATTAGCCCAGCGCACAAACGCAGAGAGACTAACTTATGGCAACACAAAAGAAAACATGGGAGCGGTGGAGATGAGGAGGTGTCGGCGTTCTGGTGATTTACTCTGAAGGCTTCAGTAGAAGCTGCTGGGAGTCCCAGCAGCTTCTACTGAAGCCAGTCCCCAACTCCGGGGACTTCCGGTCGGGGACTCCGGGTGGCAGTATACGCCGTGAAGTGGTTTGCGGCCTGCCAGTAAACCCAAAGCAGAAGAAGAAGAAGTGACGTCAGCGGCTTCATTTGCCTAATCCTCCCTCAGGGACTTATTCCGGTGTGAACGCGATCTGCTAGAAAGTTCAGGAACTAAAGAACTCCGTGAACTATTCCTGGGAAAAGTACTTGGTGTGAAAGCGCCTGATCTCACCGCTGCAGGTCTTGTTGTCTCCGTTGAGCAGGAAGTGGGCGGGGCATCCACAGACGAAGCCGCTGATTGGCACGGCGAGGCACAGGTGAGAGCAGTGCCCATTGGTGGCGGCGCAGGCGTTCCAGCCCCCCTGCCGTGACGAGTGGAACACCAGGATGTCCATCACGTAGTCCAGGTGGCCCTGAATCACGGTTCGATTCTGCCCGCTGGTCTTGTTGGCGCGCTCGATGCTGCGCTGGCTCCAGTCCGTCCAGTAGATGTAGTCCTGGTACTGGGTGAGGCCGAAGGGGTGAGGGAGGTCGTCTGCTATCACCTCCCGCTCCTCACCTGAAGGGAGGAGAGAGGGGGGGTTAGAGGAGCTGGTTATTACCCCCTTTATCAGCTCTGAAATGTACTTTAATTTACCTGAATGGCCTTAACACTAATGACATTTTGCATGAAAACAAGTCCAGAAAAATGATCAAAAATAACTTGTCGTTCTTTAAATTAGTTTTTGAAGTTCTAAAATATGTAACTTCTGCACCATCTCATGTTTGATCATGAGATATATGTTATTACCCAGCATGTTGGAGGACTCAATGAGTGTAGTGTCCAGGTCTGTCCAGTAGAGGCGCCGCTCAGCGTAATCGATGGTGAGTCCGTTGGCTCGCCCTACGTCCGAGACCAGAGTGAGACGCCCCGTCCCGTCCATCGCCGCGCGGTCGATCTTAGGCTTCCCCCCCCACTCCGTCCAGTACATGTACCTGAGGGACATGAAGGCACATTTACAACTTCAGTTTTGGAGGATTATTAGGTTTTTTTCAAACAATTATTTTAGTTTTTTAAATCTTGGAGAATATGACCTTTCTTTCCTTTACAAAATACCACATTAATCATGGAAGAAAATTATATTATTTATTCTAATTTTTGAGGTATTCTTTGTCTTAAATATTAAACATTTTCCCCATTATTCTTATATTTAAAAACCCTCAAAATATTCCTACTGTTTTCCCCCTCACTCAATCATGGAAGAAACTTTGTTCAAATATTCTATTTGTTCCAAATGTTCTGTGTTTCAACCCCTCTACCCCTCCTGTACTGATCCCTCACCCCTCAGCCGGGTCCAGAGCCAGCGCCCGCGGGCTGTCCAGGTCTTTCCACACCAGAACCTGCCGGTGCTGCCCGTCCAGTTTGGATACTTCGATGCGATTGGTCCCCGTGTCCGCCCAGTAGAGGTTCTTCCCCAGCCAATCAACAGCCATCCCCTCGGGGTAATCCAGCCCGAACTCCACCACGTGCTCCAGAGCCGAGCCGTTCATGAAGGCCCGGCTGATCGTCTGCAGAGAGGAGAGGGATTTATACAAAGTGCATTCTAGAAATATTTATAAGAAACAAGTGAAACAAGTGTACGAAGAAAGCTTGACGTCTTTTTTACGTTCGGTTTGTGCAAAAATGTCTTAGAAATATGTAATAAATTGTCTGGAAAAGATGGGTCAATAAGTCAAGAAATAAGTGTCCAGATATAAAGAAGTGTCTCTACCTTCAGCGTGATGTCGGTCCAGTAGATGCGGTTGTCGGTGACGTCGAAGTCGAGCGCGGACGCCTCCTTGACGCCGGTCAGCGGGATGGCCACGTTGTTGTTGTTTGTTTCCAGCGAGATGCGGCGGATGTCCGTGTGTCTGGAGAACAGCAGGAAGGCTTCGGGGACGATGCAGTTCTTCATGTCGGAGACCAGCTCCAGACCGATGGGACATCCACAGATCACTCCTCGAGGAGTGAAGAGGCAGAGGTGACTGCAGCCGCCGTTTAACTCAGAGCAGGCGTTGGTTCCTGGGAGGAGGAGGAGGAGGGTGATCATTTGGGGGGGGGGGTGGTCGGTGTTTTGTTTAGGTTTTTATACTGAATGTGTGGAATTGATGTGGAAATGTCCCCAAAAGAATGTGTCCTAACCAGAGACTGTGTATAGAGGTCCTAACCATAGACTGTGTATAGAGGTCCTAACCATAGACTGTGTATAGAGAGGTCCTAACCAGAGACTGTGTATAGAGAGGTCCTAACCAGAGACTGTGTATAGAGAGGTCCTAACCAGAGACTGTGTATAGAGAGGTCCTAACCATAGACTGTGTATAGAGAGGTCCTAACCATAGACTGTGTATAGAGAGGTCCTAACCATAGACTGTGTATAGAGAGGTCCTAACCAGAGACTGTGTATAGAGAGGTCCTAACCAGAGACTGTGTATAGAGAGGTCCTAACCAGAGACTGTGTATAGAGGTCCTAACCAGAGACTGTGTATAGAGGTCCTAACCATAGACTGTGTATAGAGAGGTCCTAACCATAGACTGTGTATAGAGGTCCTAACCATAGACTGTGTATAGAGAGGTCCTAACCAGAGACTGTGTATAGAGAGGTCCTAACCAGAGACTGTGTATAGAGAGGTCCTAACCAGAGACTGTGTATAGAGGTCCTAACCATAGACTGTGTATAGAGGTCCTAACCATAGACTGTGTATAGAGAGGTCCTAACCATAGACTGTGTATAGAGAGGTCCTAACCAGAGACTGTGTATAGAGAGGTCCTAAACCAGACGGTGTATAGAGGTCCTAACCATAGACTGTGTATAGATGGTCCCTAACCATGAGACTGTGTATAGAGAGGTCCTAACCAGAGACTGTGTATAGAGAGGTCCTAACCATAGACTGTGTATAGAGAGGTCCTAACCAGAGACTGTGTATAGAGAGGTCCTAACCAGAGACTGTGTATAGAGAGGTCCTAACCAGAGACTGTGTATAGAGAGGTCCTAACCAGAGACTGTGTATAGAGGTCCTAACCAGAGACTGTGTATAGAGAGGTCCTAACCATAGACTGTGTATAGAGAGGTCCTAACCATAGACTGTGTATAGAGAGGTCCTAACCAGAGACTGTGTATAGAGAGGTCCTAACCAGAGACTGTGTATAGAGGTCCTAACCAGAGACTGTGTATAGAGAGGTCCTAACCATAGACTGTGTATAGAGGTCCTAACCAGAGACTGTGTATAGAGAGGTCCTAACCATAGACTGTGTATAGAGAGGTCCTAACCAGAGACTGTGTATAGAGGTCCTAACCAGAGACTGTGTATAGAGAGGTCCTAACCAGAGACTGTGTATAGAGAGGTCCTAACCATAGACTGTGTATAGAGGTCCTACCATAACTTGTAAGAGAGGTCCTAACCATAGACTGTGTATAGAGAGGTCCTAACCATAGACTGTGTATAGAGGTCCTAACCAGAGGACTGTGTATAGAGAGGTCCTAACCACTACTGTGTATAGAGGTCCTAACCAGAGACTGTGTATAGAGAGGTCCTAACCAGAGGGACTGTGTATAGAGAGGTCCTAACCATAGACTGTGTATAGAGAGGTCCTAAACCAGAGACTGTGTATAGAGAGTCCTAACCAGAGACTGTGTATAGAGAGGTCCTAACCATAGGACTGTGTATAGAGAGGTCCTAACCAGAGACTGTGTATAGAGAGGTCCTAACCAGAGACTGTGTATAGAGAGGTCCTAACCAGAGACTGTGTATAGAGAGGTCCTAACAAGGAGACTGTGTATAGAGAGGAGTCCTAACCATAGACTGTGTATAGAGGTCCTAACCATAGACTGTGTATAGAGAGGTCCTAACCATAGACTGTGTATAGAGGTCCTAACCAGACACTGTGTATAGAGAGGTCCTAACCAGAGACTGTGTATAGAGAGGTCCTAACCAGAGACTGTGTATAGAGAGGTCCTAACCATAGACTGTGTATAGAGAGGTCCTAACCAGAGACTGTGTATAGAGAGGTCCTAACCAGAGACTGTGTAATAGAGAGGTCCTAACCAGAGACTGTGTATTAGACGGTCCTAACCAGAGACTGTGTTCTAGACGATGGTCCTAACCAGAGACTGTTCTAGCGGTCCTAACCAGAAGACTGTTCGTATAGAGACGGTCCTAAACCAGAGACTGTGTATAGAGGTCCTAACCATAGACTGTGTATAGAGCGTCCTACACCATAGACTGTGTATAGAGATGGTCCTAACCAGAGACTGTGTATAGAGAGGTCCTAACCAGGAGATCCTGTTGTTATAGAGACGGTCTCCTAACCAGAGACTGTGTATAGAGAGGTCCTAACCAGAGACGGATGAGAGGTCCTAACCATGACGTGTATAGAGAGGGTTTCCTAACCATAGACTTCGTGTATAGAGAGGTCCTAACCAGATGACTGCTGAATAGAGACGGTCCTACCTAACCAGGAGACTGTATGTATAGAGAGGTCCTAACCAGAGACTGTGTATAGAGAGGTCCTAACCAGAGACTGTGTATAGAGGTCCTAACCAGAGACTGTGTATAGAGAGGTCCTAACCATAGACTGTGTATAGAGGTCCTAACCATAGACTGTGTATAGAGGTCCTAACCATAGACTGTGTATAGAGAGGTCCTAACCATAGACTGTATATAGAGGTCCTAACCATAGACTGTGTATAGAGAGGTCCTAACCATAGACTGTATATAGAGGTCCTAACCAGAGACTGTATATAGAGGTCCTAACCAGAGACTGTATATAGAGGTCCTAACCATAGACTGTGTATAGAGAGGTCCTAACCAGAGACTGTGTATAGAGGTCCTAACCATAGACTGTGTATAGAGGTCCTAACCAGAGACTGTGTATAGAGGTCCTAACCAGAGACTGTGTATAGAGAGGTCCTAACCAGAGACTGTGTATAGAGAGGTCCTAACCAGAGACTGTGTATAGAGAGGTCCTAACCAGAGACTGTGTATAGAGAGGTCCTAACCAGAGACTGTGTATAGAGGTCCTAACCAGAGACTGTGTATAGAGAGGTCCTAACCAGAGACTGTGTATAGAGGTCCTAACCATAGACTGTGTATAGAGGTCCTAACCATAGACTGTGTATAGAGAGGTCCTAACCAGAGACTGTGTATAGAGAGGTCCTAACCAGAGACTGTGTATAGAGAGGTCCTAACCATAGACTGTGTATAGAGAGGTCCTAACCATAGACTGTGTATAGAGGTCCTAACCATAGACTGTGTATAGAGAGGTCCTAACCAGAGACTGTGTATAGAGAGGTCCTAACCAGAGACTGTGTATAGAGGTCCTAACCAGAGACTGTGTATAGAGAGGTCCTAACCATAGACTGTGTATAGAGGTCCTAACCAGAGACTGTGTATATAGAGGTCCTAACCAGAGACTGTGTATATAGAGGTCCTAACCATAGACTGTGTATAGAGGTCCTAACCATAGACTGTGTATAGAGGTCCTAACCAGAGACTGTGTATAGAGGTCCTAACCATAGACTGTGTATAGAGGGGTCCTAACCATAGACTGTGTATAGAGGTCCTAACCATAGACTGTGTATAGAGGGGTCCTAACCATAGACTGTATAGAGGGGTCCTAACCAGAGACTGTGTATAGAGGTCCTAACCATAGACTGTATAGAGAGGTCCTAACCATAGACTGTGTATAGAGAGGTCCTAACCATAGACTGTGTATATAGAGGTCCTAACCATAGACTGTGTATAGAGAGGTCCTAACCATAGACTGTGTATAGAGGTCCTAACCAGAGACTGTGTATAGAGAGGTCCTAACCATAGACTGTGTATAGAGGTCCTAACCATAGACTGTGTATAGAGAGGTCCTAACCAGAGACTGTGTATAGAGGTCCTAACCAGAGACTGTGTATAGAGAGGTCCTAACCAGAGACTGTGTATAAGGTAAACCGAGACTGTGTATGGAGGTCCTAACCATAGACTGTGTATAGAGGTCCTAACCATAGACTGTGTATAGAGGGTCCTAACCATAGACTGTGTATAGAGAGGTCCTTAACATAGACTGTGTATAGAGTCCTAACCAGAGACTGTGTATAGAGAGGTCCTCCTAACCAATAGACTGTGTATAGAGGGGTCCCTAACCATAGACTGTGTATAGAGGTCCTAACCATAGACTGTGTATCAGAGAGGTCCCTAATGCCGAGACTGTGTATAGAGGTCCTAACCAGAGACTGTGTATAGAGAGGTCCTACACATAGCTGTGTATTAGAGGTCCTAACCATAGAACTGTGTAAAGAGAGGTCCTAACCATAGACACTGTGTATAGAGGTTCCTAACCATAGACCTGTGTATAGAGGGTCCTAACCAGAGACTGTGTATAGAGGTCCTAAACAATAGAGTTGTATAGAGGTCCTAACCATAGACTGTGTATAGAGGTCCTAACCATAGACTGTATATAGAGGTCCTAACCATAGACTGTGTATAGAGGTCCTAACCATAGACTGTGTATAGAGAGGTCCTAACCATAGACTGTGTATAGAGAGGTCCTAACCATAGACTGTGTATAGAGGTCCTAACCATAGACTGTGTATAGAGAGGTCCTAACCATAGACTGTTATAGAGGTCCTAACCATAGACTGTGTATTAGAGGTCCTAACCAGAGACTGTGTATAGAGGTCCTTAACCATAGACTGTGTATAGAGGTCCTAACCATAGACTGTGTATAGAGGTCCTAACCATAGACTGTGTATAGAGGTCCTAACCATAGACTGTGTATAGAGGTCCTAACCATAGACTGTGTATAGAGGTCCTAACCAGAGACTGTGTATAGAGAGGTCCTAACCATAGACTGTGTATAGAGGGGTCCTAACCATAGACTGTGTATAGAGGGGTCCTAACCATAGACTGTGTATAGAGGGGTCCTAACCATAGACTGTGTATAGAGGGGTCCTAACCATAGACTGTGTATAGAGAGGTCCTAACCATAGACTGTGTATAGAGGTCCTAACCAGAGACTGTGTATAGAGAGGTCCTAACCATAGACTGTGTATAGAGGTCCTAACCATAGACTGTGCATAGAGGTCCTAACCAGAGACTGTGTATAGAGAGGTCCTAACCAGAGACTGTGTATAGAGGTCCTAACCAGAGACTGTGTATAGAGAGGTCCTAACCATAGACTGTGTATAGAGGTCCTAACCAGAGACTGTGCATAGAGAGGTCCTAACCATAGACTGTGTATAGAGGTCCTAACCATAGACTGTGCATAGAGAGGTCCTAACCATAGACTGTGTATAGAGAGGTCCTAACCATAGACTGTGCATAGAGGTCCTAACCAGAGACTGTGTATAGAGAGGTCCTAACCATAGACTGTGTATAGAGGTCCTAACCATAGACTGTGCATAGAGAGGTCCTAACCATAGACTGTGTATAGAGGTCCTAACCAGAGACTGTGTATAGAGGTCCTAACCATAGACTGTGTATAGAGGTCCTAACCATAGACTGTGTATAGAGGTCCTAACCATAGACTGTGTATAGAGAGGTCCTAACCATAGACTGTGTATAGAGGTCCTAACCATAGACTGTGTATAGAGGGGTCCTAACCATAGACTGTGTATAGAGGGGTCCTAACCATAGACTGTGTATAGAGGGGTCCTAACCATAGACTGTGTATAGAGAGGTCCTAACCAGAGACTGTGTATAGAGAGGTCCTAACCATAGACTGTGTATAGAGGTCCTAACCAGAGACTGTGTATAGAGAGGTCCTAACCATAGACTGTGTATAGAGGTCCTAACCATAGACTGTGTATAGAGAGGTCCTAACCATAGACTGTGTATAGAGGTCCTAACCATAGACTGTGTATAGAGAGGTCCTAACCATAGACTGTGTATAGAGAGGTCCTAACCATAGACTGTGTATAGAGAGGTCCTAACCATAGACTGTGTATAGAGGTCCTAACCAGAGACTGTGTATAGAGGTCCTAACCAGAGACTGTGTATAGAGAGGTCCTAACCAGAGACTGTGTATAGAGGTCCTAACCATAGACTGTGTATAGAGAGGTCCTAACCATAGACTGTGTATAGAGGTCCTAACCAGAGACTGTGTATAGAGAGGTCCTAACCAGAGACTGTGTATAGAGGTCCTAACCATAGACTGTGTATAGAGGGGTCCTAACCAGAGACAACAGGATTCAAAGTGAGTCAGGATTTACTGTAATTTAATGTTATGGGATTTGCTTCTGTAATACTGTGAGTCTCCTGTCTCACTCTCAGACCTCTGGGTCTCACTCTCAGTTCTCACTCTCAGATCTCACTCTCAGACCTCTGGGTCTCACTCTCAGACCCTGTCTCACTCTCAGACCCTGTCTCACTCTCAGATCTCTGGGTCTCACTCTCAGACCTCTGGGTCTCACTCTCAGACCTCTGGGTCTCACTCTCAGATCTCACTCTCAGACCCTGTCTCACCCTCAGATATGGTCTCACTCTCAGACCCTGTCGCACTCTCAGATCTCTGGGTCTCACTCTCAGATCTCTGGGTCTCACTCTCAGATCTCTGGGTCTCACTCTCAGTTCTCTGGGTCTCACTCTCAGATATGGTCTCACTCTCAGACCCTGTCTCACTCTCAGATCTCTGGGTCTCACTCTCAGACCTTGTCTCACTCTCAGATATGGTCTCACTCTCAGACCCTGTCTCACTCTCAGATCTCTGGGTCTCACTCTCAGACCCGGTCTCACTCTCAGATCTCTGGGTCTCACTCTCAGACCTTGTCTCACTCTCAGATATGGTCTCACTCTCAGACCCTGTCTCACTCTCAGATCTCTGGGTCTCACTCTCAGACCCGGTCTCACTCTCAGATCTCTGGGTCTCACTCTCAGACCCGGTCTCACTCTCAGACCCGGTCTCACTCTCAGATCTCTGGGTCTCACTCTCAGATCTCTGGGTCTCACTCTCAGACCTGGTCTCACTCTCAGACCTGGTCTCACTCTCAGACCTGGTCTCACTCTCAGATCTCTGGGTCTCACCCTCAGACCCTGTCTCACTCTCAGACCCTGTCTCACTCTCAGACCTGGTCTCACTCTTAGACCCGGTCTCAGATCTCTGGGTCTCACCCTCAGATGTCTCACCTGAGGCCAGGTGCACGCTGACGGCCTTCAGCCCCATGAGGTCCGGCAGCTGATCGATGATCACCTCTCGCTCTGCCGTGCGTTTGTTGACGCGTTCGATGCTGCGCCGCTGCCAGTCCGTCCAATAGATGAAGTCTCCGAGCAGCGTGAAGCCGAAGATGTGAGGGAGTTTGTCCTCGACCAACACCTGCCGCCCCGAACCGTCCATGCTCATCACCTGGTGGAGAAAGCAGGTATTACACGAGGGTAACCAGGAACACACACAAAATGAAATAAATAAATATATCAGCCCTTCACCTCGTCAGCGTCAGTTTCCAGCTATTTAATTTAATTAATTTAGATTTATGTAATTTTTTTGTGTATGTTTTTCATTGTTTATTTCATTTCTTCAATGATCTTTTATATTTATTTGTCTGTTTTGGGAAAGTAAAGGTTTTGGTTTTGTAAAAATACACACACACACTTTATAAAAAGCCTCCTCTGGTTTGTGGTGACGGTCTCAGTTTCAAGGGTTTATTCTAAACAGAGCGACACTGATACACTCCAGATGTGTGTGTGTGTGTGTGTGTGTGTGTGTGTGTGTGTGTGTGTGTGTGTGTGTGTGTGTGTGTGTGTGTGAGAGGAGGGAGACCGCAGAGAAACTGGACGACTGTTAAACAGCAGAGCATGATGGGAAACAGCTGGAGGTCATCAGAGGGTTTGTGATATTAAAATATTATAAATATAATATTGTTATTATATTTCAGGATATTTAAAATCATGTTATTTTTAATAGTTTTAATGTTGGGTTTTTTTTTAAACCTAAAACCAGATTTATTTGAAAAAATATATATAAAAAATAAGTTCTCTAAATATTCCAAAGTACATAAATAAAACATTTCCAAAAATATTTTATAAATGTAAAAAAAGTGAAAATCCCCCAAAAAACTAAATAATCTGTTTGTTTTAAAATCCCCTCAAAAAGTCAAAAAAAAATGAAATAATAAATAATTGTAATGTCGATTATTGTTGAGATTTTTTTACCTAAAACCATATTCTTTGTTTACTTCCCCCACAGACTGACCCAGTACCGCAGACTGACCCAGTACCGCAGACTGACCCAGCACCACAGACTGACCCAGTACCGCAGACTGACCCAGCACCACAGACTGACCCAGCACCACAGACTGACCCAGCACCACAGACTGACCCAGCACCACAGACTGACCCAGCACCGCAGACTGACCCAGCACCACAGACTGACCCAGTACCACAGACTGACCCAGCACCACAGACTGACCCAGCACCACAGACTGACCCAGTACCACAGACTGACCCAGTACCACAGACTGACCCAGCACCGCAGACTGACCCAGTACCGCAGACTGACCCAGTACCGCAGACTGACCCAGTACCACAGACTGACCCAGCACCACAGACTGACCCAGTACCACAGACTGACCCAGCACCACAGACTGACCCAGTACCACAGACTGACCCAGTACCGCAGACTGACCCAGTACCACTGACTGACCCAGTACAGCAGACTGACCCAGTACCACAGACTGACCCAGTACCGCAGACTGACCCAGTACCACTGACTGACCCAGTACAGCAGACTGACCCAGTACCACTGACTGACCCAGCACGCAGACTGACCCAGTACCACAACTGACCCAGCACCGACTGACCCATACCACAGACTGACCCAGCCCACAGACTGACCCATACCACAGACTGCCCAGTACCACAGACTGACCCAGTACCACAGACTGACCCA